AACAAAAATCATATCTACGAAACAAAAAATAGGCTTGGCACCAATGAAGCTTCTGTGGCTGGTCATTTTTTTTTTTTGTGTGTGTGTGTGTAGTATGGACCAAACCAAACCAACCAACAACAACAACAAATGACCAACCAATACAATTTTTTTTTTGGTGTAATCTTGGTTCAAATTATTCGGGTATTAGAATAGTGAATTTTTAGCTAATTTTTTTCAGGGTAGGTATAGGTACAGAGAGAGATTATAATAGTTTTGACTTTCTGTGTGTGTGCATGTGTGTGTTAATTATTGTTGTTTTAACAACAAACACAAAACAAAACCAAAAAAAAACACAGAGCCAGGAATTGAATTTTTGAAAAGAATGGATAAAAAAAACAACCGAATGAATGAAATTAGAATTATCCTACTATTCAACAGCAAATAAAAGTTCATTTTCATTACATTTTAATCGGTGCTATGCAATAACAACAACAACAGCAGCAGATGATGATGATGAATTTCGTTGGTTTTGGACGAATAAATTCATACAAGATATAGAATGGAAATGTAATTCAACCTCGAACAAAAAAAAAAAGGAAATTTAAATTCAAAAAAAACTCAACTCTAAACCATTCGATTCATTCATTACTTCAATATAGACAGAAGCAATCATCAAATCCATATTTTTTTTCGTTTGTTACATGATGGTGATGGTATTTTTTTTCTTTGAAATCTAATTGCATTTTTGTATAAAAAAATAATGATGATGATGATGATGATAATGAACTTGGCCGTTCTCTTCTTTTTGGATTTTCAAACACAAAAATCCATCATCATCATCATCATAATTATGCGCGTGTATTTTTTTTTTTTTTTTGTTTTTGCTATTGACTACCCCAACTATGACTATTTAACAATCATTATCATCGTGTTTTGTTTCGTTTTATATATTCCGGCTGATGGCAATTTGCAATGGAAAAAAAAAAAAATGATGTGGGTATACCATTATCAGTGCTGCTTGCTGCTGCTGTTGCTTATTATTTCATAATTTAAGCCATATATATAGAGTGAGAGAAGTAACAAAAAAAACTGAATTAATAATCGATCAAATTGAAAATCAAAAACATTTCTCACATTTAAAATTCATTCAGAATCATCATTTTCATTACGATTATTATATAGTTCGATTATCTTTGATAGTTGTCGATGATCGTCATCATGATTGGTGGTAGTGGATGAATAATAATAATAATGATAATTCATAATTAATGTAGTGATTGCACATCCAATGTCCAATGTAATTATTTAATCGTTTCAATGGAATCAAATTAAATCACAATTGATGATGATGATTCAGATTCTTGAAAATTAGATATGATGCAATCAAACAAAAGCAACGGGAAAAAATTTTTTTTTTTTTTTTTTTGGTGTTAAAAAACGCCACCACAAACGAATAATTTGTTCAAAAGCCAAATTTGGTCAAACATAACCAACTTTGAGACTAAAATTGGCTATTTTAACATTTTCAAAAAATTTTTATTTTATTTTGACCAAAAAAAAACGAAAAACAAAATAAATGCGATTTGCATGTTCATCATGATCAAAAAAAAAAAAAATGTTTGCGTCGAATGTGAAATGAATAAATTTCAAATACCAAAAAACAGAAAAAAAACCAATGCCATTATGATCGTGATCTGATCTCTGATTTTTTTTTTTTTCCACCACTTGAAATTGAATGTGAAGACATTTAAAGCTCAAATTACTATAGAGAGAGAGAGAGAGAGAGAGAGAGAGAGAGAGAGAGGGAAAAAATTTTTCTTATTCGTTCATCACCGACGAAGAAAGAAGAAGAAAAAAAAAATTGAAAGAAATTTAAAATTTTTTTTTTCAATTTTTCAAAATATTCATCATTGATGATGATGATGATAGCCGGCAATGATGACCAGTATGGTTCGACAGAGCAAAAAAAAAAATACCACCATTATCCACATTATTATCAATGACAAACATCTATGTTTGTCTGTGTGTCTGTCTGCCAGATATCTCTTCAAGTCGTCAATCGTTGTCGTCATGGATTCTCTGCTTGACCATTTCAAAAAAAAAAAAAAAAAAAAGCACAAAAAAAATTAAACCTCGACGATTACTAGACCGATATATTATCAATCAAAGTATAATGAAAGAAAAAAAAATTCAAGTCATCATTTCCCGAAAATTTTATACTTTCAAAGTTGTTGCTGTTGTCGAATAACCACAAATATCAAATTAGTTCGTTTTTCAGAATAAGCAAAAAAAAAATTGAATTAAATTAATCGTTTGATGAGATTCCTTCAAAGTTATTGGCTACCTGATGATGATGATGATGACCATAATGTCATCAAATAAATAAATCGACCATATCCGTCGAAATGTTGGTTTTTTTTCACTAATTTATTTCATTTCATTCATTCATTCATTCAAATAACCTGTTGAAAGCATTGAATTGAATGAAATTCATGAATATATATGGTTTATATCGTTTAAATTTATGAAAATTTGTGAAAAATAAAATAAAATTTATGACAAACAACCAAACAACCAAACAAACAAACAACCCGAACATTATCATCAACGCATAAACAGATCAACATATCACACAACTAAAACTACAACAAAAACATTCAAACATCCTTCTCTTTTAACCATATTTGAATTTTATTTTTAAAGAAAAAAAAACTATAACCATAAAGTTTACCCGAAAGCAAGCAACAGGTAATTGATGGCTTTTGATATTGACGGTATAAGAAAAAAAATTTTTTTTTTATATGATGCCAAGCCCAGTTTTTTTTACCATGAAGGATATATGATTATTATTGCTTATGTTTTAGCCATTATCGTTGAAAATGCCATAATCATCATCATCAATGATTCAGTGGCCTATCCGTAATTTTTTTTAATATTGATCATCATCATCATCATCATCATGATCATAAGCGCGTTGACGCCTTTAATTTAAATCAATAATCATCGTCAGCATCATCATCATCATCATCCATATTGGCTTCTGCTTATGCTCATTCGAGGTTGGTTGGTTGGATGGAAACGAATTCTTCTTCTTTTTTTCCATTTTACTTGTTAATTGATTTTAATTTGATTAGTTCCATAGTTTTATAGGCTAGGCATTGATTGTACCATTACAACAAATTATTCTTTATTTGGTCATGGAATTTTCATTTTAAATTTTCAAGCAATTACCATCATTGACCGATAAGAATCATCATTGAAAATTGACCATAATTCACTTTTTGAGTTACCATGTAAACTTGTGTGTAGTGGACCATTTAAAGAATGAGAACGAGAACGAGAGAACGAGAGAAAGATTTTACTTAGATAACCAACTAAAAAACATTTATTGTCAATTGAAAAGAATTTTTGCCTTTTTTCAAATTTTGACCAAAAAATGTTTTTAAAAAAAGCAACAGGTGTCTTGTATTAGAAAAATGCAGGCAAGCAAGCGAAAAAGTCAAATGTTTATCTAACATAAATAGATAACCCTATTGAAAATATTATATTATTATGGCATGACGCCTACTGTTTTTGTTCACTCACTCTCTTTGAGCACGATCAAACACGTGTTTGTTTGTCTATTGGCCCAGGTGGGTCCGCAAACACACCAACAAACACAAACATTCCATTTATTCAAAAACATTGACTTGTTGACCCAATCTTTGTGTCAATCAATTGATGATAATACAAATGACAAATATTGGTTCAATTTGGTAAATTTTTTTTGGGGCCACGCCATATTTATCTATAAAAATATCGCACAGAAATTCCAATGCAAACACTTTGGTTTTTTTGGGGCTGTTTGTTTTTAATGTTTTTGTGTTTTTTCTTTTCTATTTCAAAAAACGTTTATTCTCAAAGAAAAAAAATTTTTATGGCAAAAAAAGATTTGATTTCGTTTACATATTAAACACACACAACGAAGATCATTTGAATTATCATCATCATTATTATTACAGGAACAGAAACCAACGCAAATGCACACACAAACACAGCTGAGAAAACAGCCATTATCCTAAAATGGAAATACCATCGCCATTTGCCTAAAAGAACCGGGATTCATTTCTGGACGACAAAACAACAACAACAACGAAATCCTGAATTCATAACGTTGAACAATCAAATCCCGTACAAATACAAATAGAAAAAACAAATGCGTAGGTTTTATTTTAGGTTATGGAATTTCGCAAATGAAAAAAAGACTCGAAACGACTTGTAGAAAAAAAAAATTTTTATATCTAAAGATAAGATGTGAAACCTGTCGGTTAATCAACATTTTTTTTGGCTTTACTTTACTTTGATTAACAAATGCGGTCAAATCAGTTTGATTGACCATCAAAAAAAAAAAAAAAAAAAATAACAACAACAACTAACCATCAACCAAAAGCAAGCCAGGGCAACCCTATTGTGGATTTATTTTATTTTCTTCTTATTCTTCTTCAACATTGAGTTTCAATGAACTTTTCTTTTATATCAAAAAATAAAAATAAAATGAAAAAAAATCATTCATAATGTCAATCTCTCTCTCTCTCTGCTGCACTTTTTGTTTTGTTTTCGGGTTAATCTTTCACATCCATCCATCTAGTCATCCATGATGCCAAAAAAAAAATATTCAGCCATTCATTCAGTGTCTGGGTTGTAGCGTTGAAAGCTATTTTATTTCATTTTACGTGTATTGAATACTAGAAATATATCAGGGTTTGTTGTTGTTGTTGTTGATGTTGTCGATGAAAATTTCATGTATACAAAATGGACAAGAGAATGAAAAATTTAAAAAAATTGGTAAATTTTTCGTTTCGTTAAATTGTTGTTGAGAATCATACAACAACAACAACAACAATCACGCCTTGAAAGATAAATTTTACTGTCAGCCATTGGTTTTTTTTTTTTTGCTTGAAAATGAATCATCGTCGTCGTCGTCGTCATTTCAATGGGTAGCAATGAAAAAAGCTTGTCAATCAATTTTCTTCAATGGATTTAAAACACACACACACACACAGAGTGATTTTATTTTTTGCCAATTCCACATTCACAATTCCGATTCCAAAATTTCGTCGTTATTGATAGTCAGTTGATAGCCAATGATGTTGTTGTTATGTGAGAAAAACAAAATTTTTTTTTTAATTGATTGAAAAAATTATTACCCTTCGTCAAAAACTGATCATTATTGTATAGATGATGAAACAGGATAAGTTCACAAAGGAAAATGTCGATGATAATGATGAATTTTCTTGAAAATCAGTCATATTATTACTTGAAAAATGGTCATTGAGATCAGGAAAATCATTTTGATGTTGTGCTTGCATTATTTGTTGTTCACGTTGTTCACATTGATTATACCAATGTTGATCAATAATCGATTCTAATCTGCCAGTTTCATCAAGATATTCTAATGATTTTTCGAAATAACCAAAAAACGATGAATTATGTGCCAATGCAATGGCATATTCAAGCTGAAAATCGTAACCAAAACTTTTAACATTTTCCGTTCTGGCTGTAATCACATGAAGATCACAATCATTAGCGGCAATTAAATCTAATCGCACATTATCCGATACTAATGCATAATCACGTTCCGATTTTACTAGATTTACGGCCACATCCATTTGCTAATAATGAAATGAAATGAAATTAAGTCAATTTGAGCAATCAATCAATCAATCAAACAAACATACAGCAATACTATATGGTAATAGATGATAAACCAATGGATTACGTGATGTTTTAAAATAACGATCAGCCATTGATCCTTTGATTACGATACGTTTACTACGTTGTAATATTTCACGTAAATCGTCCGTATTATTATTATGGCCATGGCTATTATTATTTAATAATGATGATGATGATTTTCGTATCAATACGGCCAATTTGGAACGCATAAATGGTCGTGTAAATTGAACAAATTTTTTCCGTTCCGATGTTATTTCCATATCGGCAATGATAAAATCAGCATTCTAAGAAACAAAAAGTATTAACAAAATTATCAGGTCATTTTTCTTTATTCCACCTAAAAAAATAGATAAATCGATCATCATCATCATCAAGTTAATTGCTGAAGTCGAAAAAACAGCTCAATTAGCCATTTGATCTAGTTTTATTTTACGATAATCTTTAGCTTTGTTTCTTTTCATTTTTTTGGTGCAATATCGAAAATTTTTTTTTCCTATTCTTCCAATCATTAATCAACTATATATCCATATAATACTACGACCTTGGTGGTCGATAATCATCAGCAGTGAATACACACACACACACACACACAAAAAATATTCGGCCATTTATTTTATAATGGCCAAATAATCAATGTTTAAATATAAACATCTACTATAGCGCAACAAAAAGTAAATACCGGATTTCTGTGTGTGTCCGGAAACAACATGCATGTAGTATGTATATTTTTTTTTTTTTTTATTTACAATCGTGGTCAGACAAAAAAAAAAAACCACCTATAGCCAAACAAAAAATTGACCATATGATGTATGTATGTGTTCAATGTATGTACAATCAACCAACCAATCGAACCATAGACATTATGGTCTTGCCTATCAACATAAACAAACACAAAATGTTGTTTGCACGAATAAAATATGACTGGACAGAATTCACTGGATGACGATAATGATGATGATGATCATAGAAAGAGCAAAAAAAAAAACTTACATTCTCATAGATTTCACCAATCAATCCTTGTGGTATAGTTTCACCGATTTCACCACCATAAATTGCTTCAGGCAATGTTCGTAATTGATAGCTAAATTGGCCAACATCACTTATTTCGGTTATTAATTCATGAAAAAAACTTTCATATATATCTGAACGTGGATGATTTGGCTGTTTGATTCCATAGATTTTGACGATTTCAGAATTATTTTTAATAATTAATTTCCAATTAAATAAGAATCAAAACAAAAAAAAAAATAAAAAATACGTACCACTAAAGTAACACCATTCAAATGAAGTGAATTGATTTTTGATGAAATCGTGATTATTAAAATTGTGGTCAAAATCATCATCCATTTGGATAACGATCTAATTAGTGGCCAGATCGATGATGACATATTACAGATTGATCAGAAACAACCAAAAAAAAACGATGACAAAATTTTTGAATTTTCGAAATTAAAATCGAAAACACAAACGTCAAGTAAAAACACTAAAAACGTTCCAAATACGTTGTTTATTTTGAGCAATGAAGAGCAGAAAATTTATGACCATGTAAACAACAACAGCAACAACATGACAATAAATTGATGAACTTGTATACGGACCAATCACCGTTTACAGTGACAAAATCGCTTTCTTTATTTGTTGGCTCAATCTTTATGACAAAAAAAAAACAACAACAACAACAAAGACGTATTCATTGTCAAAACAACGAATCACAAAAAAAAACAATCGAGATGAATCATTTTTTTAAGACGTAACGGCATGCGATTTTGTGATTGCTCACAAAATAAAATCACAATCATATCAGAGTTACATCGAAAACAAAAAAAAAATCTGTGACTGTGATGTGTGCGACAAGAAAAAAAAATTGGATGTGATGTGATTCTATGATTCATTCATTTTTTGTCAAAATAAACCGTAATATATTTGGCAACCAGGATAACGTCATTCGGTTATTATTATTATTTTGCAAAGAATATTTGTCATTGATGGAATGAAAAAAAAAAAAAATCCGATTCTAATTAAATTCTAACCAGAAAAGACGAACACATGGATGACATCCATATCATTTTACATTTGAAAATGAATGATTTTTTTATCTTTAGTTAAAAACTGAAATAAAACAAAACTAGTACAATGTCATTCACTTTCTCTTGGTGATATTTTTTTTCGGGCCAAAGAATGCGGACAAAATCCGTATTATTATTAATGAAAAAAAAACAATACAAATGTCTGGTTAAAGATTCCAAAGAGATTATCATCTAGTCTGACTTTGATTTTATTTTTATTATTATGGTGAAAAAAATCTACAAATTTTTTTTTATGACAATGAAGGAATATTAAAAGCTTGAAAGAAGAAAAAGAAAAAGAAAACAAAGTTTAAGAATCCAATCAAGAATAGTGATCATCATCAACATCATCATCATAAAAAAATTTCTAAAAATAAAAATGAAAACGTCAATCCATCTTGGTGGAAAAAAATCTGGGTGAGGCAATCGAATGAATAGTTATTTTTTTTTGCCATCAAAAATCAAATCGGTTTCGAGTTTAGCTCAGTAAATGCATAAACCAGCATCCGAAAAGCAACATCAGCAGCAGCAGCAATCAAATCAAACATTCAACATTAACGAAAAAAAAAATGGTGATGATTTACTCGTTAACAGAAAAAAAAGGGGAAATGAACGAAAAAAAAATTAAAGTTCATATTTTTTTTCAAAAAAATCCTGTAGTAGTAGTAGTAACAGTGGTGGTGGAAATTGTTGAATGAAAAAATTTTTTTTTTCACCCCAAAATGTTTCATTGAGTTATCAAGACAAAAATTTAAAAATTTTTTTTTTGTTTCACAAAAACCAAAAATTAAAATTAAAAAATGACCGTAAAATGAAAATGATTTAGTTCTGGTTACATGTTGATTAAATCATCATCATCATCATCATCATGATCATTGGGATGATCATGATTGAGCGATTCATTATGAATCGAATCGAATAAATTGATTTTGGCTCGGAAAACTAACTATACACACAAACACAGCAATCAGAGAGATTTCTCAATGAGAAGGGAAAAAATTTTCTTCATTTCACAGACATAGACGAACAGCAAAAAAACATGTAGCCTGCAATTAATCGCTATTAATCAACAACAACAACAACGAAACATCCATATCTTTACATCGCTGAATGACATGATAAGCAGCAGCAATCATTTGGTTTGGTTTGGCAAAAAAAAAAATATCCATATCGATCAATGTCATATGTGGCGAAATGTGATTATTTCAGGTTCATTCACTAAAAAGATCAGATCATTTAGCTGAAAAAAATCATATTTGATAAGCAGGGAAAATTTTTTTCTTTTTTCACCCACTCTCTTTTCATAAATAGCGTGTAAATCAATCATCATTCTGATATTAATTTATTGATGATGAACAAAAAAAAAATCTGTTTTACCAGAGTTTTTCTTCTAATTATCCATATGATGAGAATTTTCATTGAATGAAAAATTAGTCATGTTATTTTGAAGCATAAATCAAATTCAAATTTTGTTTCAAATAATTAAATTATATCCATGATGGCAATATTTATAAATGACCATTACCATCACCAAAAAAAATCATCTGTGGTAATTATCATTGTGAATTATGAATTTTCCCACCTACTTAAAGATTTTTTTTTTTTCTTTTCGGCTGATTCATCATACAATGTACAGTTGTTCATTGCTCATTATCATCTTGTAGTAATAGAAATGAACGTATTTGGCGATAACAAGTGTCATCGGATTTGAAAATCAATCAATAATTGTGATGATGATTAAAAATTTCACATGATTAAATCTAGACCATCAAATCATCATGTCAATCAATTTGTTTTTTCGTTTCTCGTTTATTTGGTGTGCACCTTAAAAGTATATAAAAATGTTTGAAAAAATGACAATAATTTTCATTCACTTTTTCTTTTTTTTTTTTTGAAAGCCTTTGAACTTTGAAAACTTTGAAAAATGCCATCAAAACCAAATCAAGCGTTTGTTTTGCGTGCACCAAACCAGGCAAAATTGGAACCATATGAAATGCCCGGTGATCCTGGACCAGACGGTTAGTTTTGGATTGATTTTTTTTTCATTCAAATTTTTCATTTTTTTTTCATTTCCATTTGCAGAGGTACTATGTCGTACATTGGCTGTCGGTATATGTGGATCAGATATCCATTATTGGCGAGATGGTAAAGTTGGAACGTTTATTCTTGGTAACGAACCATTTGTACTTGGTCATGAAACAGCGGCGGAAATTGTTCGATGTGGCAAGAATGTTTTACATCTGAAACCAGGAGATAGAGTCGCTGTTGAACCAACAGTTTCATGTGGTGATTGTGATTATTGTTTGAATGATCAATATAATCTTTGTCCACAAATTACTTGCCATGCAACACCACCAATCGATGGTACATTACAACATTATTTCATACATACAGCCAAGTATTGTTTCAAGTATGATTCATTCAACTGTAAAAAAAAATTTTGGATTTAATTAATAATACACATACACACAAACAGGGTTCCTGAAAAACTTACGAATGATGAATGTGCAATGATGGAACCATTAGCCGTTGCTGTACATGCATGTCAACGTGTGAATATAACGAAAAAATCAAACATTCTCATCACTGGTGCTGGACCGATTGGCTTGTTAATATTACAAGTGGCCAAAGCTTATGGTGCCAATCGTGTGGTAATAACCGATATTAATGAAGAACGTTTGAATTTCGCTAAAGAATTAGGTGCCGATGAAACGATATTAATTCAACGTGAAAATAGTGAAGAGAAAAATGTTCAAATCATACGTGATCGATTCAATCAAATCGGATCGGATATTGCATTTGAATGTTCAGGTGTTGGAGTCAATTTTCGTTTGATTATTTTTGCATCAAAACCAGGTGGTACTTGTATGTTTGTCGGAATGGGTCCATCAGAATTACAATTACCTGTTGCTGCTGCTGCGTTTCGTGAAATCAAAATATATGGCTCATTACGATATAAAGGATGGTGAGATTTTTTTTGCGAAATTCAATTCATGATGATCATTTATATTTGATTTAATTTGTTTTTTCAGCTTTCCAATAGCTATCGATTTGGTGGCAAATGGTCAGGTGAATTTACAAAAAATGGCAACACATCATTTTGATTTCGCTGAAACATTGAAAGCATTTGAAACGGCAAAATCTGGCCAAGGTATCAAAGTTATTATCAATGTAGATCGTCAATAATTCTGACATCTATCGGCGGAGAAAAAAAGTGAATAAAAAAAATTTTGAAATTCAAAAAAAAAAAAAAATTCCAAACTTTTATACAGCCATCTCAGGGCCTAGAATTGTACTATCTATATAAATATACCAATGTTTATTGACAATGTGTGTTGATGATGATGATGATTCTTTTCCAATGTCATCTGGGTGAACACACAAGAATTCCATCAATTCTTGTACGAGTGTGTGTGTGTGTGTGTAAAATGAATACAATTTTTTGAAGAAAAAAAAAGTAAGTTTCATTGATTTTTTTTATACAACCTAAGCTTTCAATTCCAAAAGTTCAATTGAAATTTGATCCAATTTGAATCGGGTTTCTTTTGCATTTTTTTTCGATTGACAAACACGTACACACACACACACACACACGTACAAAAAAAATTCAAAATATTTGTCAACCAAATGTGTGATTGATTACTGATAACCTCGAACAAGGTTAACAGAAAATAAAAGTGTATACAATTTCAAGTGTAGATGATGATGATGATAAACAAGTTTTGTTATATTTTTTTTTTACTAATCAATTGCCAAAAATTGAAAAATGAAATGCGAATGAAAATGAAAACGGGGTCCATATTAATCTCAAATGACAGCCAAATATGTGTGTGTGTGTGTGTGTGTGTGTGTGTGTGATATTTATAAATATCAAAAATCAAAAAACATAGATACACACTAGATATAAATGACAACTTTTTTTTTGTTGTTGTTATTTGTTTTTCATCGTTATTAATTTTTTTTTTTTTACAATTTTCATGTTTCTAAATATTTCATTTCATTTTTTTTGCTTCATCTTGAAGACAAAATCACGTTATTATTAAATTAATAATTCATTTGTGCTAGATTTTTTCTTGATACAAATTCAAAGCAAAAAAAAAGTTTGTGCAATAATAACAAAATGGCTACCATCGAAACGAATGAAGCGTTTGTTCTTTATGCTAAAGATGATGCACGTGTTGTCCAATATCCAGTACCATCGAATCCTGGCCCTAATGGTTTGTATCGATGATCTGATGAATTAAATTGGGATTAATTTTTCATTAATTGATTAGAGGTTTTATGTAAAACACTGGCTGTCGGTATTTGTGGATCGGATATTCATTATCTAAAAGAAGGACGTTGTGGAAAATTCATTGTCAATGAACCAATGGTACTTGGCCATGAAACGGCAGCGGAAATTATTGCCACCGGATCAGATGTTAAAGATTTTAAACCAGGTGATCGTGTGGCTGTTGAACCAACGGTTCCATGTGAAAAATGTGAATGGTGTACCAAAAACAAATATAATCTTTGTCCGGATGTAACCTGTCATGCTACACCACCGATTCATGGTACATTGCAACGTTATTTTATTCATCCAGCTAAATATTGTTTCAAGTAATTTCAGTCATTTGTTTTTTTCTTGATGATTATCTGATTTGATAATTTTCTTATTGTTTTTTTTCAGAGTTCCCGATAGTTTATCAGTGGATGAAGCCGCCGTTGTTGAACCATTAGCTGTTGCTGTACATGGATGTCGTCGTGTACCGATCACAAAAGATTCAACAGTTTTAGTCACTGGTGCCGGTCCTATTGGTCTTTTGGTGATGGCCACAGCTAAAGCTTATGGTGCCCGTCGGGTAGTTGTCACTGAAATCAATGAATATCGATTAGGTTTAGCACGTGAAATGGGTGCCGATGAAACGTTGCTTTTTGATCGTAGTACAACTGAACAACAAATGGTGGATAAAATCAGCGAAGCATTTGGTGGAAATTTACCCGATATAACATTAGAATGTTCTGGTGTTGGCATTAATTTTCGTGTAGTCATGTTGGCCACTAAACCTGGTGGCCATTGTATGATGATTGGTATTGGGCCAGCTGATTATAATCTGCCAATAGCTACGGCTTCAGCACGAGAAATCACTATTTTAGGTGCATTTCGTTATCAAAATTGGTATGTATATTTGGAAAGACAAAAAAATAAAAATGCGGAAAAATCGATTATTTAAAATTCATAACATTTGGAAATAATCGTTTTTTGTTTTGTTTTCCATAGTTTCCCTGAAGCAATTAATTTATTGTCATCAGGACGTGTTAAAGTTGGTGGTTTGATTTCACATCGTTTTGATTTCAAAGATAGTCTTGAAGCTTACGAAACAGCCGCCGCTGGTAAAGGAATCAAAATTATAATCAAAGTATAGATATAGAAAAAAAAATAACAACAGACAGGCAAACGATTTGCAAAATACTAAAAAAAATGCACTCTATAAATAAAAATAAAATATCAAACAAAAAATGAAAACAAAAACAGATTTCTTAAACTCTGAATAAATAAATTTTTTTTTTGCAAAACGACAGAAAAAAAAAATTTTTGTCGGTTTTTTTTCCACATTTTCAAGGATTATTTTTTTTTTAATCAGCCAAAAACAACAACAATAATGATAATGATCATTACCTGTTGAAATTTATTTTCTTTAATGACGACGACGATCATCATCAGATAAGTGATGAAAATGAAATAAACACAAAACGAAAATCAAAGAAAATCAGATGTTCTTTTTTTATTTTGAAAATAAACAAACTGATTATATTTGTATTGATTGATTCATTCCGATCATATTATTATCATCATCATGATCGATAATTATGGACAATTTTCAATCAATTTAAAAATAAAGTTAAAAATAAAATTGCCAAATTTTTGTTTATTTTTTTCTGTTTGAAATTAAACAAAAAAAAAGATGGTGATTGAAATCATAACAACAACAGTTTTGATTATGAAATTTTGTTTTGTTGTCTTGTTGTTTTTTGAATTTACTTTGATCACCATAAATAAATTGATTTGGATTTGGATTTTTTTTTCACAATATTTTTTTATGCATACAGTTTGTTGATCCGCAATAAAAAAAAATTATGGACATCACAGAAAGACGGTGCAATTTTTGTTGTAATAATCACCATCATCATCATCATCAGACATTAATGCTCCATTAACAGCCGATCAAAATATGTGTAGTAGTTCATATATAGCGACTACGAAATTTGAAATTTGAAATTTATAATTTTTTTCAATTTGACATTTTTTAATCTTAAATTATACAATTTTAAATTTGGATGCATTTTTTTTTCTTATTTTTAAAATCATATAGGATCACGATCGATCGATGATAATCAATGATAATCAATCAATCAATCAATCAACAACAAAAATCACTGATATGTGCTTCATCCAAAATTGAATGTCAAGTTTTGTCATTTTGTTTTTCCCCATTCACAACCAATCAGTTTTGGTGGAAAAGAAAAAATTCTTTGAAATTGAATTTATGATAACCAAAAAAAAGTAACAAACGTAAACGTAACGGATTCGTAATTTCAATGTAAAAACAGTAAAAATAAAAAATTATTCATTCCAACGCATCATTATCATCTGATCAATCAAAAACGAATAAAAATAATAATAAAAAATAAACATTGATATGTGCTTGAACCAAACTTGAATGTCAAGTTTTTTTCCCTTTCTCAACCACCACCACCACCACCACCACAACCACCGCCATCACCATCACAGTTATTTTAAATGGATAAAATGTGATTCAATGCTACAATAACAACCACAGCAGAAACGGTGATGAAGAAAAAAAAGGAAAAATCTATAATGGATTAATATGTTGATTAATCAATCAATTTTTAAGCAATCAGCATGATTTGAAACTGTGGTATGCGTGTGTGTGTGTGTGTGTGTGTGTGTGGTGTTCCAAGAGAATGCTCTGAAGCAGCAATGAAATTCATCAAATAATAAAAAAATAAAGGAAGCTGATCTGATGATCATGATATTCAGAGCAGACACACGCACACACACACACATAGAAAGAAGACAGAAAAAAACTGAGAGAGTATTTGGATGATCAGATGAAGAAGAAAAAAAACAGGTTATGTAGTGGCATTGAATGATCATTTTCGAACTGAACAAAGCAAATGAATTGAATTAAAAAAAAAGAAGAAAGTGTAAAACTTTTACCATTTACATAGCCTATAGAGATTTTCAAATAACATATATAAATACCATGGAAATGTATTCAATGATTCATTCAATCATCAATCGATCGATATATAGAGAAAATTTTTGAATCTTGTTCATTTGCTTCGTATCGGTTATTCATTGAAAAAGTTGAAAAATTTTCTTTGAAAAACAATTCATCATCATCATCATTCATCTATAATCGTTAAATTTCAACAAAACAAAACAAAACAAAAATGGATAACACTGAACGTGATCTTTGTCAATTAATCATCCAGGCACGACGATTACCATGTGAACAATTGGAACCATGTAAAGATTGGACTAAAGAAGAAATTGCACGAGCCAAAAAAATGTATCAAAAAATTGATCGTCTTCAATCATCGCCAAAAATTTCATCAAAATTATTCAATGAAGCACGTGATTGTTGCGATATGTTGAGTGGTTATATCCGTAAATTAGAATTACATATGCTATCATCGAATACACGTGCTATTAATTCGTTGACCGATCTTGGTAATGCAAACAAAGCTGCTGCAATCTATTGAAACAATGACAACGGAAAAACTTTCTCGCTCAATCTCTCTGGATACAAAATACAATGGCCAATATACATTTACATGCATATTTAATCTTTTTCATCATTGAAAAAATATTGTCTTTTTTTTCTTTCTTTCTTTTTACTCATTTATTCATTTTTTAATCCAATGTCTTTTTAACAAAAAAAAAAAAAAAAAAAAAAAACCAATTTGATGATTTGATGAATTTGAATTCAATGTGAATAAAAATAAAGCAAAAACAAAAATTTATCCGATTTTCGTATTTTTATTTGACAGGAAAAATAATGCCAAAAACCAATCGTAAATAAATTGTTTCAAAAGTCAAAAAAAAAAAAAAACGAAAAAATTCACAGTCAATGTCCAATATATTTATATTTAGTAACAATAACGGCAAATAGAGATATCGAGTTTCTAAACATTTCCATGTGTTTTGACCATTTAAATGATCATAATGAAAAAAACTAATTCACTACCGATCCATATAACTAACTAAAATACATAGATAAGGAAAACGGGAGCCAATTAATTGAAAATGGCGAAAATTGTGATTAACAAACACGTTCTCCTATGATGATGATGATGATGAATATTGATGATCGTCGATGTGAAATTTTTAGTAATGTTGTGCAATTTTTTTTTTGGAACAACAACAATTATAACATCACACATTAGCATCATCAACATTAAAATGGATCGAGAGATTAAAGAAATTAATTTAATCAATTTAGCAATTTTTGATGCCATTTTTGGGCGAATTTATTCTTTTTTTTTTTGTTTGTCATGTCGAAATCACATTTCCAAACCGACAGATGGCGTATACCGAACGTTTAAACAAGTCAATGCCAAATCATCGATCATCATCATCAAATTTCTTTGGCCAGTTTTTTTGTTTTGTTTTGTATATTTCCATAAAATAGCCATTTGTTTATTTATTAGTTTGTGTGTGTGTGTGTGTGTTAAGAACACAACACAAAAACGAAGAAATATTCAGGAAATTGACCATCATCAATCGTCGTGTGGCAAAAACGAAACGAAAACGAAACGAAATAATATTATTTCAAAGCTAATCACAAATGAACAAACAAACCAAACCAAAGTTTATAATACAAATACACAAGTATATTTTGTAATCATTGAATGATGATGAAGATGATGATCATCATAATCATCATCATCATTGTTGAATATAATTTTTCTACATTTATTCAAGGATTCTTATTATGGTGTGTGAAAAAAAAATTAATAAAAAAAACAAAACAAAAAACAATTATAATGTAACAAACAAAAACAGGAAAAGAGATGGAATAATGAAAAAAAAAATTTCAAAAAAAAAAAAAAAAAAAAAAAAACAAAACACAATAGCAATCAAAACACTTTATTTAATAAATAAATATAATCAAAAATGGTCATCATCATGGATCTCGTGTTTATTATTATCATGATGATGATGATGATGAGGTAAATGATACATGAAAATGATGATGATGATGATTTATATCCTGCCACAGCAATATATATTATCCATACTTGACCTCAATTCTGGTACATCTTTTGTTTTTACATTCTTTCAAGGCATTTTTTTTTTGTTTAATGCCGGTGTTTATTTTTCCAATATTTTTTTCAACGAAATTCCATTAAATTTTTTTTTTCATTAAAATATCATCTGTTTGATCAAAAATCATCATTGTCGTTTGAAATGCGTGATCGTTTTGTTAATTGGGTCATAAATCATCATCATCATCATCATTTTTTTCCATTGGGAGTGGAAATTATTTTACCAGAGAAAAGAAAAACGAAATTCCTCTATTATTATGCAATAATAACCTAACACAACTACTGATGTTGTTGACCTGGAAAAAAAATTAATTACACAAACATCTATTATTACTATGTGATGATGATGGAATAATTTTCATATTTTGAAACAAACAAATGTTCAAATTATGAGTCTAGTGATCATGTTGAATGCATGAATGGATGATGATTGTGCTTAGTCTAGATTATTTTTAAGTGTGAACGTAATGACATTATTGTCTCACGAGTACAATAATCATCATCATCATCATCATGATGGTGATAATTGTTTTCATTCTCTTAATGAAGTTTTTTTTATGTTGCGTGAAAAGAAGAAACGAAATTCGTTTTTTAAAATGATGATGATGATGATGATGATGTGCACCAAAAACACCGAAACACATTTTGCTTATTTCAACTTTGTTTTCGTTGAAATTTAATTATCAATCACCAATTGTCATCATCATCATCATAATGATCATCATGTCGATGATGATCATTATGTTGTCATTAAAGTTTAAAAATTTGATTCATTTTAATTAAAATTTAATAATCAAAATCAGGAAACGTTCTCACACATGCACACACATTCTACTTTGGTTTTGGTAATTTTTTTGGTCATGAGAACAAATTCCAATCATCATCGTTCGAATCAATTAATCGATCAATCTCTCTTCTGAATTCGATTAATTGAATATTGACAATTTATGGTGTTTGAGAAACAATGATGGAGATCTCCAATTGTCACAAACAATTGATGTGTGGTATTTAAGCAAACTGTTTGCAATAAGTTTCAAGGATTTTCTGTTCATCATCATCATCATCATCGTCATCAAACACAATGGATCAATCATCATTATCGTTAAATCCAAACAGTAAAATTGAAAATGAACTTTATCGTTTGATGATACGTTCACGACAAATGATCAGAAATGGATTGCAACCAGATCTTGATTGGAATGAAGAAAAAATTATTGATTCTGGAAAATTGTTAAAAGAAATCGAAATGATACAACGTACAATGAAAATGATAAATAAAACAATAAACGTGAAATTGTTCAATGAATCACGTGATTGTTGTGAAGAATTGAAAAAATTTACAAAATTATTGATCGAACATCGTAAACAATTGAAACAAATTGATCATGATCAAATGCTAAAATCATTGGATGAATGGAGCGAACAAAATGACAATTTTGGCCGTATACGTAAATATTTTTTCAATGTGTAAGCGAAAAAAAATGACAACTGGCAAATTTGCACTTGAAATTATCTTGTTTTAATCAAATTAAATAAAGAAAAAAAAATGAACCGAATTTTATCTAAAAATTTTTTTTTGAAAATAAAAAACAAAAAATAAAATTTTCTTTTCTTCTCTTTACAATGATTAAAATCAAACATGAATCATCATCATTTCTATATGTTTAAGAAACTAAATGAGAAAAAAAATTCCGCCATTAGAACAATATGATATGTGTATTATTGGCATTGATGATTGTTTGTTTGTGATAAAGAAAAATAAACAAACAAACAAGCAGACATTATGATAATGGCTCTTGACCATTGCATTGTGGGTGGAAAAAAAATTTTTCCATACAGCCATCATCATCAAAATGATGATGATAATGGCATGACATTTTTTTTATGGCCAAATTTTGTTGTTGTTGTTTTGTTGTTGTTGTTGTTGTTGTTTGTTGCTCGTCCTATCATCACACCTAGCTATTAATTCATTGTTTGTTGGCCACTTTGATGAAAATGATGATTATCACAAACACACACACACACACACACACACACAAACGTGCACTTGCATGAACAAAGTAATGGTCCAAACTGCAGTAAAAAATAAGGATGGACAATTGGTATTTAAATGGTTTTTTTTGTAGTAGAGAAAAAAAAACGATGATACATCATCACCATCATCATTTTTTCTGATACTTTTTAGTCAAATTCATTTCGAGAACGACTACGATTCAATTTCAACTTCAATTTTTGATTTCAACTCAATTTCAATTTCGTCAAATTCAACAAAATCATCATGTCGACAGCAAAAGAACGTGCCGAAAAAGAAATGCAACAATTAATCGCTAAAACACGTAAATCAATTGTTAATGAATTGGATTCATGTATTGATTGGATCGATGATGAAAAAAAGAAAGCGAAAAAATTATTGGAACAAATTGAAAAAATACAACGACAATGGCCTGGAATCGATGCAAAATTGTTCAATGATTCACGTGATTGTTGTGATGATTTACGACAATGGATCAAACGTCTGGATGAACATCGTAAATCTGTATTGAATAATGATGATCGTTTGGTTGTCAACACACTTGATGAATTGGGTCGTGCTAATGAAGGATTTCAACGTTCTCGTAAGATTCTTTTCTATAAATAAATCCATCCACATTCGAATGAAACCTTCCACAAATTCCATGATGAAATTGACCATAATTTTCATTTTTTCTTTCTTTGAATCTCATTTCTTTGACGCCATAACAAAAAAAAAGTGATGATGGTCAAACATTTTGATCAAAAGTCATTTGACTACTGATGTATCTCATTCGTAATTTTTTCTTTTTTTAGTCATTCAAATTAAATTTTAATAGTAAAAAAAGGCTAAGTTTATTTATTTATAAATTATATATGAATCATTTGGTAAAACGAGCAAGTAAACTACAATCAATCAATCAATCAATTAAGAAAATGATAATAAGTAGGCCGAGATAAAGTGTGCTAAATGGTGGGTGTTTTCGTGTTTGCAGAATTTTTTTTTTTTTGGTATGAGAGTATGATTTGTGTTGAAAGTTTATCTGTGACTGTATGAGAAAATAAGAAAAAAAATCAAAAAATTAAATCACATTTTGAAAGAAAAAAAACGAATGTGTTGAAGAAGTGTGTGTGTGTGTGTGTGTGTAAAAATCGTTGGAATCTAATCAACTTCTTCCATTCGTGATTTATCATTAGCATCGGCATCAGCATCCGGTACAATTGTGTTGGCAATTGTTCCATCAATTTCATTTGAATCGATAGCCATTTCATCTTCATCGATACCAAGACCAAGTTTAATCATACGATAGATTCGTGATGCATGTGTTTGTGGATCTTCCAAACTGAATCCTGAACATAAAAGCGATGTTTCATACAACAAGATGACCAAATCTTTAACGGATTTATCATTTTTGTCTGATTCAGCTTTCTGTCGCAATGTTTCAATAACCGGATGATCAGGATTAATTTCCAGATTCTTTTTAGCAGCCATATAACCCATTGTAGATGAATCACGTAAAGCCTGTGCTTTCATGATACGTTCCATATTAGCACTCCAACCATATTGACTGGTAACAATACAGCATGGTGAACTAACCAAACGATTCGATACGAGAACTTTTTCCACTTTTTTGTCCAAAATATCTTTCATAATTTTACAAAGATTTTCGAATTTTTCCTTTGCCTCTTCGAAACGTTTCTTTTCTTCATCATCTTCAGGCAATTCAAGACCTTCTTTGGTTACCGATACCAATTGTTTACCATCATATTCTTTTAGCTGTTGTACACAATATTCATCAATCGGTTCAACCATATAGATTACTTCGTAACCACGTTTACGTACACGTTCAACGAATGCAGAATTCGACACAATTTCACGTGATTCACCAGTGATAAAATAAATGTGTTTTTGATTTTCTTTCATTCGTGATACATAATCTTTCAATGAACAAACATCATCACCAGTTGCCGATGTATAGAATCGCAGTAAATCGGCCAATTTTTTACGATTATTATGATCTTCATGAATGCCAAGTTTAAGATTTTTCGAAAATTGTTCATAAAATTTCTTATACGTTTCTTTATCTTCGGCCAATTCTTCGAATAATTCAACACATTTTTTCACCAAATTCTTACGGATCACTTTCAATATTTTATTCTGTTGCAACATTTCACGAGAAATATTCAACGGCAAATCTTCGCTATCGACAACACCTTTCATAAAATTCAAATATTCCGGTATTAATTCTTCACAATTTTCCATAATAAACACACGTCGTACATAGAGCTTGATGTTATTTTTTTGTTTACGATTTTCGAATAAATCAAATGGTGCACGTTTCGGCACAAACAACAGGGCACGAAATTCTAATTGTCCTTCAACGGAAAAATGTTTGACAGCCAGATGATCATCCCAATCATTGGTTAAACTTTTATAGAATTCAGCATATTCTTCTTGTGTGATTTCTTCTGGATTTCGCATCCAAATTGGTTTGGTTTTATTCAATTCTTCTTCATCCGTATATTTTTCTTTAATTTTTTTCGTTTTCTTTTTCTTCTTTTCATCATTTTTATCATCATCGGTTACATCTTCAATTTTTGGTTCATCACCATCATCATCTTTGTTTTCTTCAGTGGTTTTTTCTTCCGTTTCATCAACTTTCATTTCTTCATCTTCATCATCGGATATTTCTTTTTCACGTTCTTTATTTACAACCAATTTGATTGGATAGCCAATGAATTGTGAATGTTTCTTGACAACATCTTTGATACAACGTTCTTCACAATATTCAATTTGATCTTCTTTCATATATAAAACAATTTTCGTACCACGAGCCAATTGTTCACCATTATCATGATCTGGACGAATAGTAAATGATCCACCAGCCGATGATTCCCAAACCCATTGTTCATCGTCATTATGTTTTGAATGTACGGTAACTTTATCCGCCACCAAATATGCAGAATAAAAACCAACACCGAATTGACCAATCATGGATATATCGGCACCAGCTTGCAATGCTTCCATAAAAGCTTTAGTACCAGATTTAGCAATCGTACCAAGATTGTTTATCAAATCAGCTTTAGTCATACCGATGCCGGTATCAATAATGGTCAATGTTCGTTCATCTTTATTCGGAATAATTTTAATGTAAAAATCTTTACAATTGGCAATTTTCGATGGATCAATCAACGATTCATAACGTATTTTGTCCAATGCATCCGATGAATTTGATATCAATTCACGTAGAAAAATTTCTTTATTCGAATAGAATGTATTGATAATCAGGCTCATTAATTGAGCAATTTCGGCTTGAAAAGCGAATGTTTCAATTTCTTGATTTTCTTCCGGCATCGTTGTTTGATTGATTTTTGGTTAATTCACACGTTGTTTTTATCGAACAATGACACGTAATTGTAAAAAATGAATTTGGTTGAAAAAATTGAGTATTTTGAATAGAGCACAAGCGAAAAAACACTAATGATTACCCGAAATCGAAATCAATTCGCATTATTTATATGAATCGACGATTTCGAATTTCGATTAGTGCCACTCATGATTTTAATCAATCGACACATGAGCACATTGCGTTTTGCTTGCATGCACATGTGGCTAGTTTTTGAATTGAAAGAAGCACATTTCAGCATTATTTATCGACGTTAATTGTCAAGAAAGATTCATTGTGGAAAATTCCGATTTGGGCCGAAAAAAACGAGATTATCGCTCATTGATTGCAGCTATGATTGTATGCCACTAAATTCAGATTTTCGTTGTTTGATTGATTTTTGGTTGTTTCACACGTTGTTTTTATCGAACAATGACACGTAATTGTAAAAAAAATGAATTTTTGTTGAAAAAATTGAGTATTTTGAATAGAGCACAAGCGAAAAAACACTAATGATTACCCGAAATCGAAATCAATTCGCATTATTTATATGAATCGACGTTATTGTCAAGAAAATTGTGGAAAATTCCCGAAAAAATTATCGCTACATTTCAACTATGATTAGTGCCACTATGATTTTCATCAATCGACACATGAGCACATTGCGTTTTGCTTGCATGCACATGTGGCTAGTTTTTTTTTTTGAACGTGTGTGTGTTGTGAATAGAGCAATAATTTCGAGAAAATTCTAAAATTTCTCGTACATTCTCTATAGAGCGATAAATTTTCAGATTCTGTACTTTTTCCGAAAAATTCCTAGATTACATTTGACATGGAATTGATTGAAGTATTGATTCGACTTGGAATAAAAAATGATGACATTTATAAAAAAATTTTCTCCAGAATTCAAAAAAGTAATCGATCAAAGCCATATAGTAAAAAGTGGTAGATTGTCAGAATTTTGATTGAAAATAAACATGTTTATGTCATTTTTTACAAACAAACACAAGTGTTTCAGACAGATTTTCTATCTGGCTATAATTTCCAATAGTCCAAAAAAAGCTTTATATAAATATGGGCCAATTGAATCGTTGATAAAGAAAAAAAAAATATCGGCAACAAAATTTGGCCATTCATTTGACAAAGTTTGACGAAAAAAAACCCACTGATTATGATACGTCAATCGATAATCTGCATTCTCGTTTGTTTATGGCTGATTCAGTTTTGTTCATTGGTTCATTCGAGTAATGGTAATGAAATTGATTTTTTTTCTTGGAATTTAGACCCATATATATGTAGAAGACGTTGTTTCATAATTGAAAAGTTTATTTAGATCGTGATCCATTTTCTGGACATCGTAAACCAGCGGAATATGCAAATGATGATGTAACCGAATCCACATCAAAATATCGTGGACCATCAAATGGTGGACCACCAGCTCATCATCATCGTATGGATTTCAATGATGATGATGATGATGATGATCAACCTAGTCCAAGACAAGATGAAGATGATTATCATGATGATCATTTTATTCCACCTGGACATCGTTATGGTCATAGAGGTCCAGGTCCGAATTTTATTCCACCTGGACATCGTTATGGTCATAAAGGTCATGATTTTATTCCACCTGGACATCGTTATGGTCATAAAGGTCATGATTTTATTCCACCTGGACATCGTTATCAAAGACGTCCACCTCATGATGATAGAGAAAGTATTACAATTTGTATACCAGAAGTTGTTTATATTATTGTTCCTTGTACTAATCAAACAGATAATCCAATAACATCGACCACACCAATGGATCGAACAACAACAACAACAACAACAACAACAACTGAACAACCATGATACATCCACCAGAGATATAAAGGAATTTGAGTAATTGTCACTTTCTTTTGACATTTTGAAATTGACTGATTGATTGATTTGGTTTGATTTGATTTACAATAACAAAATTATTATTAAAAAAAAATTTGACAATAAACAATAGATAGATTGACAATTTTTGTCAGAGCAAAAAAAATTGAATAATCTGACAATGCAAAACATATGCAAAATGTGGATAGAGCTTTATTGGTTATATAAATGGCGTTTTTAAATCGAAAAAACAAAAAACAAAAATTTTCAGTTTTGATTTGTTTGTTGTTGCATGAATTGCATTAGACAACAAAAAAAAATGCGTCAATTATTCACCATTCTTTTCATTGGTTTATTCATCATTCAACTTTGTTTGATTATTCCATCATGTGATGCAAATCGTAACAGTAATTTGTTTGTTTTTTTTCGAAAAATTTTTTTCTTTTCTAATCAATAGATTATACGGATATTACATTTAGGACACCATCATCGAAGGCATAACAATCATAGTGAAGGACAGCAAGGTGGTCAAACAAGAGGAGAAGGACAACAAGGTGGTCAAGGACAAGAAGGTGAATATGGCAATAATCGTTATCCACCAACATATTTTTGGAACAATCACGAAAATGAACAACGTTAAAATGTGAAAAATAAAAATAAAACATTTGTCACATACACACTTACACACATAATAACAAATTATTGAAAAATTCATCTTTTTATTTCAAAAATTCCCAAAATACAGTTCAATTAAATAAAATATAAAATAAACCGGTTTATTCTGAAATCAATCAATGTCTATCGATTTGGGTTTGATCGTTTGCAATTGCCAATTTTTACTCTGAAAACAGACTATTTGATTATCACAATCATATCAAATTGTTGATATTCATATGATGATAATCAGCAAACAAACAAAAACGAGCAAAGAAAAAAAATGACGAATAAAAATCATCAATAACATCATGTCGATACAAGCAACCAGAATTCTACGTTTCCGTTCAATCAGATTGAATCGGACAATAACAACAACAACAGCTGCAACAACAGCAACAGCAACACTGAATGATAAATCAAATAATCGAACGGATATTGCCATTTTTGGTGGTGGAATTATTGGTTCATCCATAGCATATTTCATCAAGGATAAAGCACCAATCAATTTGTGTGTTACGGTCATTGAAAGAGATCCATATGTAAGTCTCTATGTGTGAATGTGTGTGTGTGTGTGTATGTCATGATGATCATCAGATTATTTGCATTATTTTAATTTTTCATAAACACAATCAAGTATACACGAGCATCTACAACATTATCGGTTGGTGGTATACGACAACAATTTTCTTTGCCTGAAAACATTCAACTGTCAATGTTTACAGCTAGATTTTTGCAAAATATTCGACAATATCTAAGTATTCTGGATCAACCACCATCGGATGTTGCATATCATCAAATGGGATATTTAACACTTGCTGATAATCATCAAGCCAGCATATTGTGGGAAAATTTTCAAATACAAAAACAATATGGAGCATCAATAGAATGGTTGACAAATGAACAGCTTTCAAAGAAATTTCCGATGATTAACACGAATGGCATTGAAGCAGCTGTATTCGGTACAGCAAATGAAGGATGGTTTGATCCATATCGTTTATTGGTGGCAATGAAAAGTAAAGCAAAATTTTTAGGTACTAAATTCGTACATGCAAATGTTATTGGATTCCATCATGATAACGATGGATCAAAAAAAAAATGTCAAAAAGTCATCATACGACAACCAGATGGTAATGAGATGGAAATCATGTTTGACATTGGTGTTGTTTGTACTGGTTATGATTCAAAACAAATTGCCAAATATATTGGTTACGATGACATTCAACGTAGAATTAATTTTCCCATTGAACCACGTAAACGTTATGTTTTCGTAGTCGATTGTCGTAATTATGATCCTGATTATAAATTTCCATTTTTATTGGATAAAACCGGTGTTTATTGTCGACAAGAAAGTCAAAAGGGTATTTTCATTTGTGGTCGATCACCACCAACATTGGTGGAAGAACCAGAAATCGATAATCTAGATGTGGATTATTCATTTTTTGATGAATATGTTCATCCAATATTAGCCGAAAGGATGCCTTGTTTTGAAGCATTGAAAATCAAATCAGCATGGGCCGGTTTTTATGATTATAATCATTTGGATCAAAATCCAATTGTCGGTAGGGATCCATTTTATTCGAATATTTATTGGGCCACAGGATTCAGCGGTCACGGCATACAGATGGGACCGGCCATCGGCCATGCAATGATGGAATTAATATTGAATGGACGATTTGAAACAATTAATCTCGAACGTTTTGGTTGGGATCGAATATTGAATAATAGGCCATTGAAAGAGCGAAATATTTATTAAAACAAAAAAAAATTAAAATCAAAGTAATCAAAATCAAATTGATGATGATGATTAGATATGTACACAGATCAAAGTACACAGCATTTTTTTTCTCTCATTTTCAATAATAAAAATTTCATGTGATTACACAAAAAAAATTGAAAATTCATTTTTCATTTTCCGATATCGGTCATTCTAGTTTTGGTTCATGTCAACAACCAATCTGTCAATTGAGGGGAGACGAGTCAACAAAAAAATGTACCCAGAATCTAACCCTATTCCTGTCCTATTATTGTTCCTTTCGATATTCATCCATGCAACAGCAACAACAAGTGAAACGATTGAAAATGAAACCAAATTGTTTCATTATCCAAATGTTTATCGTAATGAAACAATTTATGATGAATTTTTTGGAATAAAAGTGAGTGAAAAATTTTATTTTTTTAAGAAACAAAAATTCATTACACACACACACACACACTTGAATAGATTTATGATCCATATCGATGGCTTGAAAATACAATCAGTAATGAAACGAAACAATTTGTTCGACAACAAAATGCCATAACATTGCCTTATCTTCAATCATGTAAATATAGAGATCATATCCGTAAAAAGTATAGACAATTATTGGAATATGAACGTGTTGTTTGTCCATTCAAACGTGGTCCATATTATTTTATTCTAAAAAATAAAGGATTACAAAATCATTATATCCTGTATAAAATGCCAAATGGACCAGATGATCTGGATAATGTTGAAGTGTTTATTGATACCAATAAAATGAGTTCTGATGGATCTATATCAATGGCATCAACAAGTTTTTCCAGAGATGGTAAATGGTGTGCATATGGATTGGATGAATCTGGTTCTGATTGGAATATAATACGAATACGTTCAACGGAAAATAATACCGATTTGAATGAAATATTGACAAACATTAAATTTTCATCTGCATCGTGGACAAATGATAATCAAGGATTTTTCTATTCGGTAATTGAATTCAATAATTATTATTGATTATTTAATTGATTGATTCTGATTTTTGATTAGCGTTATCCAAATGAAAGTCGAATTGATGGCACTGAAACGGCAGCGAATAAATTCAATAAACTTTATTATCATCGTATTGGAACCGCACAACAAGATGATATTCTAGTCTATGAAACACCTGATCAGCCAATGAATCGTTTGTAAGAATCATGAAATCATATGGATCATTTAATTAATAAAAAAAATTTTTATTCAATTTCAAGCTATGGCAGGGTTAGTGATTGTGGTCAATATTTGAATGTATTCATTAAACAAAATAGTGAACATGAAGCATGGTATTATTATCGTTTCGGTGATAATCAAACTGAAAAAATTACCGGTAAACTTCGGCTTGAACCGATAATATCGACATTTGATTCAAATTTTGCATACATATCAAATGATGGACCAATTCATTACGTACACACTAATCGTAATGCATCAAATTATCGTCTGGTCAAAGTAAATCTGACTGATCAATATAGCTATCATGAATCAAAATGGACAGATTTAATTCCTGAACATCAAGATGATGTTTTACGTGTCGTAAGAATAGTGAATAATGATTACATTATTTGTCATTATATTCGTGATATTAAAAGTCGGCTAGAGATACGAAATTTAACCGATGGAACTTTGATAAAACAATTGGAAATTCCATTAGGATCAATCGAATGGATCACTGGACAACGACAGAATGATAGCCAGATATTTTTCTCGATTACATCATTTTTAACACCAACAAGTATTTATCGTATCAAATTGAATAATACTGATGATGAACCGGATTATCTGAAATCAACGATATATCGACAATCGTGGCCAAAAAATTTTAATGCAAGTAAATTTGTGACCAAACAAATTTTCTACACAAGTAAAGACGGTACCAAGATTCCATTGTTTATAGCGCATAAAAAAGTGAGTAAAAAAATTTCAACAAAATTTTCGGAATTGATAAAATTTTCATTCATTCAGGACATAACAATGAACGGTGAAAATCCAACATTACTATATGGATATGGTGGATTCAATAGCGTGACGAAACCACGTTTCTCACCATCAAAATTGATCATGTTGGAAAATCTAAATGGTATCTATGCATTGGCTGGTATTCGTGGCGGTGGTGAATATGGAAAACGATGGCATAATGATGGAAAATTGTTGAATAAACAAAATAGTTTCGATGATTTTATTGAAGCAGCCGAATATTTAATCCGTAACAATTATACAAATGCACAAAAGTAAGCGAATAGAATGATTGATAAAGACAGAAATAAAAATCATCATAAATAAAATTCAATCAATCAATAGATTAATCATTGAAGGTGGATCCAATGGTGGACTGTTGGTGGCGGCCGTTTCAAATCAACGACCAGATCTAATTGGTTGTGTCATTTGTCGTGTTGGGTGAATATTAAACAAACAAAAAAATTTTCAATTTATCAATCAATCCATATCTGAATCATTTCATTTCATTTTCGTCCAAGTCTATTGGATATGTTACGTTTTCCACGATTCACCATTGGACATGCATGGATATCGGAATATGGAAATCCAGAATCAGATGAAACATATTTCCATTATTTATATGGTTATTCACCGTTGCATAATATTCCTGACGGAAATAATGTGACCAGTTATCCGGCTACAATTTTGTTTACTGGTATTGACACATTTTGATCAATAAAAAGATATATAAATTTTCCAATCACGATTTCTTTTTTGTCATTCAATAGCTGATCATGATGACCGAGTGGTGCCATTACATTCATATAAATATATTGCACAGCTTCAATATCAACTTGGCGATCGTTTCGCCCGTAAACCATTATTAATACGTATCGATACCGGTACCGGGCATGGTGGTGCAAAACCAACGGATAAAATCGTAAATAGAAAAAAATTTTCTTAATCAAAACAGCAAAAAAAAATTCCATTTTTTTCCTCTCATTTGATTCGATAACCAGATTGACGATACGGTGGACATTTACAGTTTTATTATCAATTCATTATCATTGAAATATTTGGATTAACATAAACACCATGAATTATTGAAATTCAAATAGTTTTTTTTGTGTGTGTGACCATTTGGAATTTTCAACAACCAAAAACAAAACAAAAAAAAATGGATAATAATCACATTTGGGATGTATTTTGTGTGGATTGGCCTGTGAAAAAAATCCAAGAATTAGAAAATGATTAAAAATTCCAATTTCAAAAAAATTACCTTGAATTTGGTGAATTAAATTGAAAAAAAATTTTCAGCTCATATTTCAGCCATAATACGAAATGGAAAATTATTATTAAAATTAACCAATGATGGTGATTCAATGGAACGAAAATCATCAATATCGATGGTATCGAAATCAAAATCACCATTTGTTTTAAGCTTTAAATTTGGCAAAGATATGGCTCTATGTATTCTTGGCACCTGGATATTTTCCAACAGACCGGAGATCGTATGAAATAATGGCCGCTGTTTACAATCCAGTTGTATACATTGTTGAATGAGTGCAATGAATTTTTTCGGCACATCATCACGTACTTGTTGAAGATTTGGTTTAAGAAAACCACGACCAACTAGATAAAGTATTTGATCTCGATTATTCAGATGATTATATGGTAACATTCCGGTAGCCACTTCAAACAAAACAATTCCATATGCATAAACATCACTCTGGAATGAATGTGCTGTACCACGTATGATTTCTGGTGCCATCCATAATATAGATCCGGTTGGTTGATTGGTTGGCTGTAGGCCACCCCAATGTGATTTCACAGTGGCCAGACCAAAATCACCAATTTTAACTGTGAAATCTTTTGACAAGAAAATGTTATTTGATTTAAGATCACGATGAATAATTTTCTTTGCATGTAGATAATCCATTCCTTGCGCTGTTTGTTTACCAATATCCAGAATTTGATTCATTTTGAAATTCGTTTCAATTACATGCAAATGTTTATAAAGGGATGATCCTTCACACCATTGTGTTACAATCATCAGCTGTGGTTTTGAAACATAACCCATGAATAGAATAATATTCACATGACGTGTTTTACGTAATACGGCCAATTCATTTTTAAATTCAAACAATTGTGCTTGTGTTGGTTCAGCTACTTTCAATTTTTTCACTGCCACTGGTCCATGCCATAGACCACGAAAAACCGTACCGAATGAACCGGAGCCGATACATTCTTTTATTTGTATTTCTGATTCTGGAATTTCCCAATCTTTTATCGATTCACGATTTGAAGCTGAATTTCGACGAATTTTTTTCAATGAACTTGCATCTGCAGAACGTGCCCGTGGTTCACGTACCGTTGTTGTAGTGGCGGCAATATCTTTTTCATTCGAATCAATCAATTTAACATCTTTGATCAGATTGATTGTAATGTTCGGTTCCGATGATGACCGTTCTCGAGTATCTGAACTAACCGAATTTGAACGTTTAATATCCATTCGCATACGATCAATATTACGACCATTACGTTGTAATAAATGTAATAGATATTGATTGGTTGGTTGACACATTGGTGAAATGTGTGATGAACAACGTGAATGGAATTTAATACCACATGTTTGACAACGTAAACAGGTGAATAGTATTTTCTGACAATATTCACAATTGGTCCATTTAAAAAATGAACGACGTATCTGATGTGTCATTATTCGTACTTCGATTTTGCTACAATTATTCAAATCGGCAACATCGGAATCCCATGCAATAGGCAGATTCGTATCACATGATGATACCGAACACATAGCCACAGTTAATTGCCGTTTTTTCATTGCACGTGCCAATGCATCACGTACAGTTTGTCCATCCTGTACAGGAATAATTGTCCGCTGTTGATTTGGAAGATGGACATGCAACAGACGTTTATTTGGAAACACTGAATTCATTTTTAATCGATTCCAGCAACAATTACTACATATAACAATGGATCAAATGAAACAAAAAAGGAAAAAGATTTTCATATTGAAAACTTACAGAATTCATCATTTCCAACAATCATAAAATAATTCAATGTTGTCAATTATTCCGAATGTAAACGATGAACTCATTCAAAACAAAACAAAAAAAAACAAACAAACCAGATGCTCGAAATTTTTATATTTTCATTTGCCGCTACTTTATTTTTTGTGTGTGTGTCAAAACTATATACAACAACAACAACAACAACAAATTCGAGTTTGGGGGATGCACAAGAGCAGCTGATTTCAGTTGTGTCTTGAAAACTTTCCATGTTAAATATTTGAATCAAATTATTGTTGTAATTATTTCTGAGAAATATCATTGTAATTCTCCATTTTGGATTTAGAAAAAAAAAAAATTTTTTCATTCTGATAAAACAGAAAAAAAAAAGTTTGATCCACATATTAGCTATGAGTATGGTAGTTCTCTTTATTTATCGTTTTTTTTTATTTGGAAAAAAATCGATAAATCTGAAATAAACTTGTTTCACATGTGTGTGTGTGTGTGTTTGTGTGACATGATCAAGTTTTCAGGATCGAACCTTCAATTATTGTTCAGTTTTATACGAGTAATCCAATAATAATAATGACGATGGTGATGAAAATAATGAAAATTTTACAACGGTTTTTATCTGAGAAATTTAAAAAAAAAATTAAAAATCAAAATCAAAATAACGGAAAAAATGACTTTTCCGTTTCAACTAATTATTACTATTTCATAATATGAAATGATCTATATGATGATGAATGATAAGGAAAACCGAATGGGAAAAGCCATCTTCATCATCGTCATCATCATCATCATTGAAAATTGATCATGATGATGATGTTGTTGATGATGATGATGATGACGAAAGAGCAAAAAATTAAAATAACCATTCTGTTTACATTTCTCAATAGTCTTTTTTTCATCACTAATTATCATCATCATCATCATAGGCCAAGGGAACGGCGACGGCGACGACGACAGCAACAACAATCTAGCAACGACAGACAAAATTTATCCTTGATTTGAGAATATTGACATGATATGATTGCATGAAAATTGAGCAAGTTTTTTTTTTAGAAAAATTGAAATTTTTTTTTTGTTTATTTATTCATTGATTTAAATTGAAATAATTTTAAAATTATTACATTAGAGGGTTATCTATCTATTACTAATAAATCTCAAATCTCAAATGATTGATTAAAATTGAAAATAAATGAATTCATCATCATCACAAATTGAAAAATTGAAAACAAAAACAAAAACAGAAAAAAAAACATACAGACAAGATTGATTAAGGCTCTCATTCATCATTATCATTGTTATTAAATGAATTTTTTTTTTTTTTTTTTTTTTGAATAAAATGGAAATCTGAATATGGAGAATGCCAATTAGAAAATACAAAATATTCCTCGTTACAAAAGACTTTTTAAATTTCTTTACGAAATAAATATTCTTGTTGTGTGTGTGTGTGTGTGTGTGTACAATTGCAATTGCAATTGATTTGAATGGGTAGAATGAATGAAATGGAAATTGAAATCAATTGAAACAATTATAATATTTAAAACGATCCAATGTATTCTTGATACTTGTACGTCCTGATACCAAACGTGTATGTTTATTCTCAATAATAGCCTTCATCAATATATTTAGACAATTTTCAACATTTTGATTACCATCAACGGTGGTTTCAAAATATTCGGCTTTCCATCCTTTAGCCAGTCGTTTGGAATCAGTTTTTGGTATTTTACGCAATTTTTTTGCATCACGATCACCGTTTTTAATGCCAACCAATATAATACGTGTTTGAGATCGTACATCAAGAATTTGTTCACGCATCTTTTTAACGGTTGTCAAACTTTGTTCATCATTCACATCGAATAAACAGATGAAACCGTTTGCACTGCGATAAAAACTATCACGAACGGCTTGTAGTTCATCCGGTTCGACAATTTTAAATTCCACCTTCAATGGTTGTTGATTGATGGTCCATGATAGAAATCGATTAGCTGTCGATACATTTGAATCATGTTGTAGATTCATTAATTTATTTTTAAACGATATTTTATCCACATTTTTATCGCCAACAATAATAATTTTTTGGACAGACATTTTTTAATCTTCACAATCAGATTTTTTTTTCAAAGTTGAAAGATTGCAAAAATTTTTAAGACACAAACACAGCCACCAGTTGAATTTAATTTATTTTTTTTTAAAAACTGGTGAACAAATCGAAGAGTTTTATAGCATTTCAACAACAACAACAACAACAACAAAAAAACTTTAAACTTGTTATTGATTGATGACCACAAACAAAAAACAAATCAAATCATACCAAACAACATTTATCAAGTGCAAGTATAATCATTGCATTCAAGAATCTCATAATCAAAAAAAAATTGATTATTGAGAACCAACGGAAGATTATTATCTGTTTGTGTAAAGTAAAAAAAAAAATTCAAGTTTTTTCCATTTCCACAGTTCCACCAAAAGCTAAACAACAGCAAACTTATTACCCTGATAACAAAACACACACACAGGCATTGAAATTTGGAACATTGAAATGATGATTTGTTTTGTTTGCTGGAAATGGGTGTGTGTGTGTGTGTGTGTGCATGTGTGTGTTTGTACAAGAAGATAGTAATGAAATGAAATGAAAAATTGATCATATGATGCTTTAAGAAATGAAATTTTCTCAAATGGACAACATGGAGAAAAAAAAAGAGAGATGAACATGATGACGAAAGTGTTTGGATTTATTCATACACACACACACACATATTGTGAGTCAAATTATCATCACTTTTTCTTAAGAAAATAAAAACAAGTTTCTCTCGATTTTTTCCATTTGAAATATAATCACGTCATTAAAATTTTTTATTCTCTCGTTTCATTTATTTGAATCAGCCATTTCTCTCTTTCTCTCTATATTTTTGTGTTTTGTTTTTCAACAAGTTTTAGGCATCATTCCACAAATATGTCGATGTATGATGAAATGTCCAAGTGGACAAGTAGAAAAAAAAATTGAGATTTCCAACTTATCGATTGTCGATGATGATGATGATGACTCAGAAGAAAAAAAAGGAAGTGACAGAAATTATTTAGAGAAAATAAAAATTATAAGGTTTGAAACCGAATGTGAATTTCAATAAGACAATAAGAGTCTTTTTTTTCGATATATTGAATTATTGAATTTTTTTTTTTCGTTTGTTTCCTTGATTTTTCCTTGTTGTTCAATTCAACAAAGGAAATGTAACGTTTTTTTTCATTGAAAAATAAAAAACAATTGGAAATTGAATTATTAGAAAAAAAAGGTTTCTTTTCAATGACATTATTCTGTAAAAAAATTATCATCATCATCATCATCATTTTGTTCACTTTTATTTCGTCATAAACACACAACAATATATGGATGATGAGCAATAATAATCATCATCAAGATTGAATTGTCCAATGGACCATGTCATCCATTCATTTCATTTAATAATCATGTAGTATATATAACCTTGTATAATGTTGAGAATTTTTAACTATAGACAAAATTATTATTTATACAAACTCACAACAGCAAGAGAATGTGGAAAAATGAAAAAAAAATGAAATGAAATGAAATGAAAATTATAGTGACTTTCAAAGATTTTTTTTTTACTTTCCTCAAAAAAAAAAAAAAAAAATGAAAGATTTAACAAGGTTCCACCACCACCACCACAACAATATAATCATCAACGATGAATAGACACAAAGAAGAAACAAACAAATAAACAAAAGTTCAGCTGGTGAGATTCTCACACATTTAAAACACAACGTCCATACATGCATGCATTATTGTCCTATTGACCCATATTGTCATAGTCGACATGTTCATCATCATCATCATCATCATCATGCATCAATGAAAAAAAAAAAAGCACAAATGAAACAAAAAAAAACTGGTTAACAAGTTTTCCTTTTTCATTTTCTTTTCATCATCATATCTAGGAAACAACAATTGAAATGATGGTTATGATGAATTAATGAAATTTATGTAACGACAATGTATGTGCGAATCTTTATCATTCGCATTGTTTTTTTTTAATTTAATTTGCATATAATAAAAACAATGGAATATGGAATGGCACATTTAGTTTTTCATGCCTTTAAATGTGAGATTTTTTTTCTGTAAGATGATAACGACAACCATAACGAATTTATCACTTATTTTGATGATAAATAGTAATATTGTTTGTTGTTTTGATTGATGGGCAAAATTTTGATTAAATGATGATGATGATGTAAATAATCGATTTAGAACAGGAATTTTTATTTTCCTTGTTGAGAAAAAAAAATCGATTTAGAAATTTTTCAAATATCAGTGTACATGTCGCCATCTATTGCCAATGATAATGAGTACAAATGAATGAATCGATTCTAGTCCACTAGATGTCAGATTGGGAGCGGGTTATTTATCATTATTTGTGATAATTCGAATAGAAAGAAAAAAATAATGCCATCTTATGTTTTCAACAACAATGTTTAAATTAGCATTTCTGAATTTTTTTTTTTTCAATACATTTGTATATTTGATTTGTCAATTGAATTTTCAATTCATAAGAATCATCGATGATGCTGATAATAAAAATAATGACGAATAAACAACAATGACAACAAACAAATAAACAAACAGAGAATGAGAATCATTCGGAATTCAAATTTGTTTTTCTTTTCCATTCTTCTTTGTCGCTTTCTGATTGTTTTAATAAGAGGATTTTATTCTTTTTTTTTATTTCAAATCATTATTCCAACACATTTTAAATTCAATATTTATCAATTTTCTTTCTTTTCAATTTAAAATTCAACAACAACAACAACAACGACGACGACAACAACAACAATTTTGATGAAATAAACTATAAAAACTAACACTATTTTTTTTTTTATTTGTCATCATCGACACAATTCGATAACAAACAAACAAAACGAAACGAAACGAAACAAAACACGATGATGATGATGATGAAAATGGAAATTTTTTCAAATTCAACTAAAATGAATGAGCTAAAGCACAAACGAACAAAAAAAAAAAAAAAAACGTTAATGTAAATGGCTTGTTTACATAACCAAGCAAGAAGAAAAGAAGATAAAAACCTACACACATTGTGAATGATTTTTTTTTCCAATTTTGATGAATAAAATAAAATGAAACGAAACGAGAAACGAAAATCTCTAAAAACCAAGTTTATGTTTTTGATTGTTAAAAATGTAAAAAAAAAAATATATAAAGCAGCCGTTACAGTGTGAATGTATAATGAGAATAAGGGAAAAAAAATCCAATGAGAATAATAACAATAATAATAATAAAATGTTTCGAATGATTCAATTGATTTTTGGTTATTTTTTTTTTCGTTGTAAATCGAAATGAATGAAAGAAAATAGATATATATCGAAATTTATTATTATTACACACACACTCAGAGGCTGAAATCCTATTATTTACAATTGAAAAACAAACAAAGTACATCTCTATTTTTTTTTTTTTTTTTTTTACGATTGCAGTCTGTTTGTTCATTGGATTTTCGTTGTTTTTTTTTTACATAATAATAATAAAAAAAACTCATGTGTTTTTGCGTGTGTGTGTGTTGTTTATGGAAGAATTTTTGTTTTGTTTTGTTTTATTTCTTTTCTCCATCATCATCATCATCATCATCATCATTGTGTGTTCAACATAAACAGTTAGATCACATGAAAAGAAATGTGAAAAATACATACACACACACACGAAAAGAGATGGAATGAAATTAATTTTTAGTTTTATTTTTTTTTTTTTTTTGAGTTCAATTTTGGAAATTGTTACAATTCATCTTTTTCATCGTCATGATGATGATGATGATGACATGATGATGATGATGATGAGACAAGTTTAAAAAAGTATTACCATTAATCACGCTTATCATCATTAATAGAAGAATACAGGATATAGAGAAAAAAAATGAATGAATGAATAAAGTGTGTGTGTGTGTGTGTGTGAATAACCGAATCAATCTGAGAAATAAAGAGAGAGAGAGGGTCTTTTTTCTAAAGAAGAAAAAAATGGACGAAAAACCTCAAAAACTAGGTTTTTCTTCTGTCCATTTTATTTTCAAACAAAAAAATAAACGGGAAAAAAAACTTTTTGTCGTCGTCGTCGTCGTCGTGGTCAGTATAGTCGTTATTCATTCAAACGAAATAAAATATAAAAAAAAATGTGAATTATATATGCACATCTTTTACGGCTAGGCTTGGAAAAACAAAAAAATGATTGATGATTTTGGTTCAACGCGAAATACATAAAAAAAATGAGAAAAAAAACTAGGCAAACAGAATAAACGGGAAAGAAATGAATGAATGAATGAATGAAAAAAAAAAATTATTATTGTCGAAATAGTTTTCTGGCTCTGGCTATTCCTAAGCACTGGTGGTGATAATAAAAAAAAAAAAAAAAAATCTGAAGAAAAAAAAATGGATCCGTTGACCATTTTCAACAGAGCGAGTAAAAAAAAAAAATGTGTCATTATTTCAGTAAATGTACATATATAAAAAACAGAGATAGATAGAAAAAGATTATCCATCCAATCGAAATAATGATGATGATGATGATGATGAGAGAAAGAAGAAATTTCAATAACAAAATGTTAATTTTCATTTCAAATTGTCGAATAACTACGATAATAATCAAATGATTATTATTATATCGAATTGATGATTATCAAATGATGATCATTATCATCATCATCATCATCATCATTATTATTAAAATAACGATAATCATTATCATTGTTATGAGATAACAACGATGAAAAAATGAATTAATGAATGAATTAATTGATAATGATAATGATGATGATCACGTTTGTTTTGTTTTATTTTGTTCTGTTTTTTTTCTGGCTGCAAGTGTGTATGTAAAAAAAGAAAACTCGCCATTTACAACATTTTTTTTCTTTTATTTTTTTATTTTGTTTGATACATTTTATTTTCTCCAGTATAATATAATTGAGCTATATATAGAGCTTGTGAATGTTTAATTTCAACATGTTTAGAATCAATTTACTCTCTCTCTCTCTCTCTCGAGAAATAATGATAATCATAATGATGATGATGAGCTAGCTGTATCATTTTTTAATAAAATCCTCATCAAACAATGATGATGATGATGATGGTAGATGTGTAATGAATGGAATATTTTGAATTTTTTTCGCCCAAATATCTGATTCAGACAAATGAAAGAATCTCATACCGATTTACAGGAACAACAATGGAAAAATTTTCGAAACATTTCTGAAAACTTTTTTGGTAATGCTTTTTTAGGTGAAATGTTGTGAAAAAAAATTTCACAACTAGTTAGTTATAATAAGTATACTTAAATCTGTCTGTAAAAAAAAATAATAATAGATCGATAACAAAATCGAATAATAAAATTGACGATAAAAAATGATGATGATAAGTGTTAATTCAATACGAGAAAAAAACAACAACAACAACAACAACAACAACAACAATTTTCAGCTATTTTTGGATTTTTGAAAAAGAAAAACAGAAAAAAAATTCACAAAAAATTTTTCTATAGAAAAACAAAAAAAAAATCTC